AGGGGATCCTTAGGTGAAAGCAAATTTTCTTGGAAAGCACATGCTAAGGAGATTTCAGGTGCCACTGGAACGAAGCTCAGGCAGCCTCTTCAAGATCACATGGGTGGGCTCCTCATAGTGACCCTCCCTGCCCAGTTATCTGTCACTCACCTGCACAGTGACCATGTGACATCTGTCTTTCAACCATCCAAGGCTCCTTCTTTTGCTCCAATAAGGAGATCATTTCGGGTTTAGAAATGGAGAGTCCTATTTCCAGGGTAAGAAAAAAATCAAAGCAAGTAACACACAAAATCAGTATGTTGCAGGTGTTCAGGTCTCACACCCAATCTCTTGATCAACAGTCAAGGAAGGATAGTCAAGGAAGAGTCAGAGAATGGAATGATGCTTGTATGGAGGATAAGGAAGATGAAGCTTCTTCCACTGCAGCTGTTCTTACAGTTCTAGAGCAACTGTAGCCTCCCCTAGGCATTAAATTGAAATTCTCAGTTCTCTACCCAGACCTACTGAATCAGAAACTACAGTGGCTCCAAAACTTTACTAAGCCTCAGGATCTTTCAGAGGGCTTATTAAAATCCAGATTACTAGGCCCATTCCCTGACTTTCTGATTTTGCAGATCTAGACTGGGGCTTCATAATTTACATGTTAACAAATTTCCACAGTAAGTTGTTGTTGCTGTTCCAAATCACCATTCTTTAGGAAAGAGAACTACTGATTTCCAACTCTATGAACTACTTTAAATCATTTCCTGGAAGAGGTAGATATTCAATGAATCACATGTGAGATGTTCTAAATATTCCCAGTAGAGGAAGCAAAAATGCCCCAAATGGAAAATTTTGAATGGAGAATAAATATCCTTACCAAGCCATACCAAGTTCCTGTAGTTCTCCAACATGACTTCCCTGTATAAATCTTTCTGAGATGAATCAAGCCATTCCCACTCCTCTTGGGAAAAGTCTAGCGTCACATCTCTAAAAGTCACCAATCCCTGAAATAAGGAAAAAAAAATAACCTTGCTCCTTAGGTGCTCAGGCTTTCACATGGTCCCAGCCAAAAAAAGAAAAAAAAAAAAAAAAAA